AATGCTTTTGTTAGCCTGTCCAGTTGAACCCACTAGATGCGGCGCTGCTACGTTGCTCATTCAAAATATTGCGATAAAAGAGAACATCAATGCGGAGAAGATGCTGTTTACGTCAAAACTGAAACCAAGCCGTTCACACAGAACGCATATTTATCAAATTTTCTAGAGGGACATCTATCAGCGTTGGTTTTTCCCCATCCCACTGTATCTCATGTTTTTAAATGAAGAAAGTAGCCTACTCTTTGTGACTGGTTTTCGGTCCTTTGTATTAAACTATACATGCATGCATGGTGCTGTTTTTTTTTTCTAATTGTTTAAGCAACTTTATTAATTATATATGGTTTATAAACATTATTTTAAACATTATGCACTTTTTTTCAAAGATAGTAGTATTATTTTATTACGTTTTGAAGAAACGTGCATAATATTTTGCTCTATGCGCCCTCTTGTGGCCTCGGAAGAGAAGCCAAAAGCTTTTTTTCCCCCTAACTGAAATTATGCCTTTTAAATTCGAATATAATTCGAATTTTTATCATATTTAAGTAACATTTTGACAGCCCTAATACACAGTACACACGCATACATTATGTAAACAAAAACTTTTATTTTGGATGCGATTAATCACGATTAATCGTTTGACAGCACTAAAATAAATGTAAAATTAATATACAAATTTGAATAAACTATAACTTTGTACTTGCTACTCAAATAAAATATCATTTATCTTGAACATTAACTTAACGGCACAAATATGACGGTTATATAAACTAAACTAACAATGGTTGTTTTAACCAAATGAAATATGTCCTGCATAACTTATGCAGATTTGAGCCCAGACGGACCAATCAGAGCAGCTGTGGGTGGGGCTAGCATGCTCAGTGTGTGTGTGTGTGTGTGTTCAGGTGGTGCCGGTGGTGGCACGGATGATCAGCGAGATGTTTTCTGGCGACTGCACGCGCTCCTTCGACAGCGGCAGCGTCCGGCTGCAGATCTCCATCCCCGACATCAAGGACAACATCGTGACGCACCTGAAGCATCTGTACCGGCTCCTGCAGACGCACCAGGGGCAGGAGAACTGGCTCCCGCAGAGACTCTGAGCGCGTTTACTGTGTGGCCCAAGTCTAGCACACCATTAATGATCAGCCACGCACTGACAGATTTACACAAGCTTTTATCAGCTCGACTCGCTTCCTGATGTCTGAGCTTTTAGCTGCGCTCTTGTGCTTTTACTGCAGGTGTGTGTTACGCAAGCAATCGGGTTTACACACTTTTTTGTGGGCACTTGTAGTTTTTAACCGTACTATGTGTTTGATGTCCCATCATGTAGATTTGTGTATTAATGTTGAATGAATTTATCAAATAAAAAGAGAAAATCACACAAACTGAGTGAGAGCTTTTGTTGTTTCATGGGGATTCAGTGTACTTTGTTCATTTTGGTACGTTTTTGTGAGTTTACCATGATAAAACCATTTTAGTAGAATATATGCAAGTTATATGCGTGTGTGTATATATATATATATATATATATGTATGTATGTGTGTGTGTATGTATGTATGTGTATATACACACACACATAACTTACATATATTCTTATAACTTTTTAACATATCTGGACAAAAAAAGTATATATATATATATTTTTTTTTTGTCCAGATATGTTAAAAAGTTATCAAAATAGCATATATTAAATTAGAATATTTATCTATTAGGTGATTTAATATGTAATATCTAAATATTACATTACAAAATGTACATATAGCTTGTTTAATATAGATGAAATGTAATATATTTAGATATAATTAAATGATAATGTAAAAATATTTTGAATTCAAAACGCTATATAAAAGATTATATATTAATAATATAATGTAATGTAATAATTTAATGTAATATCTCAATTTTACATTTCATCTTCATTAAACTCTTATATTTTATATATATTATGTTTTATATACATTCTATAATTTTATATTTACATATAACTTGTTTTGTCTAAGTATGTTATGCGATATATTTTGAAATAACTTATATACATAATATTTTGACAATTATATTTACTATGTAATATCTAAATTTTACATTTCATATATTTTAAACTTGAATAACTAATATTTAGATATAACTTGTGTAATGTAATATGTTATATATATATTGTGTTATATAATGTGTATATTGTTATATATATATAATGTTATTATATATATATATATATATATATATGTGTGTGTGTATGTATTTAAAATAATATTTCTATATTTCTTAATATTTCCTCAATATTAATTAAACAAGTTAGAAATCTTGACATATATTAAGATATAACTTGTTTAATATAATATCTAGATTTAATTACATTTTACATATGTCAGAATAACAAGGTATATCAAAATAGTATATATTAAATTATATGTATCTATAATATCTGAATATTACATTTCAACTATATTAAACAAGTTATATCTAAGTGTTGTAATTTGATCAAATATTTGCATATAACTTGTTTCAATGTTCTATTTAGACAAAAAATATATTGAGCTGTCAAAATAAAAACTATTTAATTCAATTATATCTAAAAAAAAAAAAATAGCATGAAACAAGTTAGAGTATTTTAAGTTACTGTAATATTTAGATGCTTAAGTCATCAGATATTTAGAGCCGATCTCACATCATGTAGGTTTGGGAATGGATTTATCAAACACAAACAATCTGAGTTTTCGTTGTTTCAGGCCAGTATTGGCTGTTTTTTCTGGTTAACCAGGATATGGATTGAGCACAGATCAAACTGATTTGCTCAGTTATTGTAAACTCTTGCTGGTCCAGTATCTCCAGCACTAGTGCCTGAGGTGTGTTTATCAGTCGGTCGGTGTCGTGTGTTATTTCTCCACCCATCTGAGCTCCTCCTTTAAGACTAGTTTAATCAGACTTTGGCCCCAGGAGCGGCTCCTGTTCCTCTGTCCCTCACGCTTTAAACTAACGCAGAGAAACCGCAGAAGATCTCAAGACTCGGCTGAGAAACCTCTTCAACAGCTCGTCTGATCTCCTCGGTGAGTGTTTTCAGTGCTTAGATGAGCTTCGGGGGTCTGGATCTCCTCGAGGAGCTCGAGCGGACCCTGAGGTCACATCTGATCCGCTTCTGCTTTGATTGTGGCTGCTTTGGTCTTCATCGAATGGTTAATCGGGACTCTTGGTGTGTTTGTGATCGAATCGTTGAGGTTTTCTTGTGTGCTTCTCGAGAATCTCTGGCTGTTATGTAATGTTCCTGTGGTGACGGAGGTCAGATTACAGCGATCGTGGTTTATGAGCTCATAAACATGAGCAGATCGTCGGCTATAGTGATTAACATAATCCATTATTGACTTTAAATGTGACCCTGGAGCACAAAACCAGTCATAAGAGTACATTTTTTGAAATTGAGATTTATGCATCAGCTGAAAGCTGAATAAATAAGCTTTCCATTGATGTATGGTTTGTTAGTATTTGGCTGAGATACAACTATTTGAAAATCTGGAATCTGAGGGTGCAAAAAAATCTAAATATTGAGAAAATAGCCTTTAAAGTTGTCCAAATGAAGTTCTTAGCAATGCATATTACTAATCAAAAATTAAGTTTTGATATATTTACGGTAGGAAATTTACAAAATATCTTCATGGAACTGCTGCAGGGTCACAGATGAGAAAACTAAATACACAGGAGTCCTCGATTCCATAGTTGCCAAGTTTTACCAGTCATATACCGTGGTATTCCTCAGGAACCGTGGTATAAGTACTACTGTATGATATATTGATGGTGTTTAATGGTAGTGCCGTAAACTCAAGTTTTTGTACAATTTGCGTAGTATTTCAAACAATACCATGGTACTTTTTTAAGATATGGTAATACCATGGTGTTCTTCTACCTTACACAACCACATATCTTACCTAAGGTCCTCGGAAATACTATAATATTCTTGAAGTACCTTACAATGGTGTGTAAGCACCTTAACTGAAATACCATGTTTTTACTCTAAAAAATGGTGGAAAACCATTATATTGTGTACCATGCAGTACCATGTGAAATACCATGGTATATGAACAAAATTGTACGTAAAGTTACCATAGTAGACTTTACCATGACACAATAAGTTTTCACACAGCAGTACTATGGTATTTTGAAAAATTGCATGGTATTCAATGGTATTTCAAACAAAATCAAGGTATTTGTTTTGTAAGTGATGAGAATGCCTTGGTAATTGTGTGTGTGTGTGTGTGTGTATATATATATATAACACTTAGTGAATATAAAAAAGTTGTATAATAATAGATACTTCAGTTTAATACTTATAATTACAAATATCAATAATATTTAGATTTTTATATAAAGCAATTCTAATTATGTAATTCAAAATAAATATATGTAATAAAAGCATATATATATATATATTTATAAAACCCATGTTTAAATGTAGCTATATACATTGTTACATTTAAACCTGGTTAATAAATTATAATTTGATTTTGTATGTAATATCTAAATATAACATTTTGTCTATATTACACAAGTTATATCTAAGAATTGTGATGTCTGTAATTAAGTTTAATTATAACTATTCTAATTAATATTAATAACTTCTCAAAAATGTCACATTAAGCTGTTTTTTATTAAATTATAATATTTATGTATAATTGATTTAATATGTAATATTTAAATATTACATTTCATCTATAGTATTTTAAGTTAATGTAATATTTAGATTCTTGTTTAATATATAATAAATAGACAAGTATATATGTATGCACACACACACACAAAAGTACATAAATTTGTATATTGATATAATGAAATATCAAAATATTACTTTTCATCTGTAGTAAACAGGTTTTACCTAAGTAATTTAATTTAGTATAAGATACTAGTTTGATATAATTCATATAGTAAATATATTTAGATGTGATGTGTAACCGAGCCATATGAATGTATCCACATACACATATATATGCGCATGTGTTTGTGCGGTAGTGTGTTGATGCTGTAGTGTTGTGTTCAGGTGCTGTGGTCATGCTGCGGGGTTCGAGTCCGTTCGGCTGGTCCAGTGGTTACACTGAATCGCTTCGCTCCAGGTGAGGATCGCCTCTGATTCCTGTGTATCACGACATCTCTCACGCCAATCTGACCCGTGTGTTTTCCCGCAGCGTGACTGCGTTGGATGACGCGTCTTCGGATCTGTCGGGTTTATCCAGACCCAGCGCTAAATCAATATACCGTGAGTATTGATCCCGAGACGAGCTGATCAGTAACGCTCACACTGCTGCTGCTTTATTCAACTCGGTTACTGAGACTCGGACTGAAATCGCTTTTGAATGAGCGCTCGCTTTTGACGTAATTCTTGTTCAAAGACATGCTTATTCTGTGCATTTTAAAAAAAATTTGTGTGAAATCAAATTTATTTTGTCCTTCAAAAGTGTGCTGAAAATATAAAAACTTGCTAATGAACATTAAAAGGCGTCATTATAGTCCGAAAAGCAAAAGTGAAAGCGCCCAATGCTATTTAGTACATTTTACAAGAAACTTGCCTTTTCTTTTAAATATGTGACATTGGACCACAAAACCAGTCATAAGGGTCAATTTTTTTAAATTGAGTTTAACAATATTTATGTATAGCGTAATACGGTATATAGACAAAATGTATTAATGTAATAAAACATTCTGAAGTATGTAATTAATGTAATATAATACTTTATCCCTTACAGAAAAACCACATGTGCAATCACATGTTAAAATCACATGTGAAATACGTGAAACATGTGGTTTTGGAACATTTTCATGATGTAAATATGTGAAACCCATGTAAGGGTTTATTTAAAGTAATATTTAAATATTATAATTATCTATAATATTTAGATGTTTATTGCAATTACATATACATTTCATATATAAATTAATTGTAATTTATTAAATCCTTTATTGTTTTGTGTGTGAGTGAGTGAGTGTGTGAGTGTGTGTGTGTGTGTGATGTGATGTGTGACTCTGTGCTCCGCAGCATCTGTTCACCTGTGAGCTGGATGGTGTGCAGCTGTGTGACGTGAACGACTGTCTGGAGCGGCTGAAGTATCTGGTTGCTACGGGCCGAGTGTGGGGTCAGGACGTCCTGCTGGAGGAGCGCGACGGAGCGCTGCTGCTCGCCGAC